TAATTCCATTCACACAAAGTTCTTACTCGATCAAAAGATCAGTTTGCTCTTGCCCTTACATTTCACTGCTTTAAAATGCACTCTCAGTGACCTTTTGCTCTCTAGGTTTTTCTTTTTCCCTCTTCTCCTTTTCTTCAAATGATAGAGAAGTGCACCTGATCTCTTCTGGTTTCTCACTTCGTACTTTTTCTCTTTCTGCCTAAGCCACAAATACTCTTTCAGTACTAAATAATTGCTTCAAAGGAATCCTTCACCTCAAGCATCAATACTGATGGATCTAGAATCTTTCCATATTTCTGTACTTACTTTACATTTGTTAACTTCTGAACAATTAATGAAGGAGTAAATAATTTATCACAATCTTACAAAAAAAAAAAAAAAAATCCAACCAAACAAAGTGAAACACCAAAAAAACCAAAACAGAAAATCCAACCAAACAAAACACCAAAAAAACCAAAGCAGAAAACAAAATTAAAACAAAACAAACACCAAAAGCAAGATTATGTTGAAGTTGGATTTCTACAGTAAAATTCCAGGACAGTTCAAATTAGTTAGGATCTTTTTCACCTTTCCCCACTGTCTGCACTGTTAAAGGTTTGCGTAGAATTTGTGCTACACATGCTCCATTTTTTTAACACTTGTACAGATAGGAAGCAAATCCTTCTCATGTAAGCCATTATAATGATGGAATAAAACAGGGTTTTAGTGCTCCTTCTATTTTTGATTTGTTCCTTTTGTTTTGCTCTATTATGGCTAATTCAGGCATTACACTTTCTAGTAATATGTGAGATATATCCTCAATTGTAGTGTGCAGGGCTAAAAGTGGTGGCTGATGGCCCTGATCATTCTGGCGCTCCTGGGAATCCTCTCACCACCCTGGCATCTATGAATATGCAAGTTATGACTATAATTCAGAAACTGGACTTAATGTGGGATGAATTTTCAGCTCCTAGAAACAGCTAAAGTGCTTTTGATTTGTTGCTTTTTATTTTATTTAATCCTGCAAAGTAGAAGACTTTTTTCCTGGCTTCTCTAGAAAGGTTAATGCACTGGGCTGGCAATACTTGTGAGTTCCGCTCTTTTCCCTTTGCTCTGAAATGAGGGGTCCTCACATGCAAGTCCTGCTTCCCCACATGGGTGTGGTTGCTTGCTTACAAATCCCATGGATTTGTAATAAGCCTGAGAAGCTACCTGGGGATACAGGCAGCTTGAGACATCACGCCACCCCTCTGCTAATGACACATATCTCTAGATCTCCTTTTTAATCTGACCCAAATGGTGCCAGTGTCCTGGTTTTCTCAGTGCCTGATCAACAGAAGGACTTGGGTGAGACCTTGATGACCAGCTGAGATTTGATTTTAAATAGGGCAGAGGTGATACTGCTGGGGAAAGCAGCCTAGGACTGTGGCAGAGATTATGTCTATTCCTATTAGTGAGAGAGAGTATCCTCACCTGAGTAATTTCAGAATTCAGAGATCAGCACTGGTCTCCTGTGTTTCCAGTTTCAATTTATCACTGAACTTGTGACAGTTTGGCCTCTGGTTCCTCATGTTGCATCCCTGAAGTGTGGTTTGTAGGCATATGAGAGAATTCTGAAATATGCTTAGATGCGATGTTCTTTCACAGTAAGCTGGTTTACTGCTCACAGTTGGTAACTTTAGCAACTTAAGCAAAGATTTGTGCAGAGAAAAGGCATATACTTCTTAAGGGAAATTGTTAAACGTTTTGATTTTTGTTGAAGTAAAAAGGTGCTGGCTGTTTTTCCTTATACAGAATTTGACAATGTTCTAGAAATTGTTGGATCAGTAGAGTTAATCTGGGTCTATGAGCACTTACTGGTACAGAAAAGTACAATAACAACAAACTTTTGATGTGGCTTTCTTTGGTAGCAGCAAGGATGGAAGGAATTGTCTTTTGCCTCGTCAGCAGCCCACCTGCAGCCTGCCCAGTTTAAGCACAGGACCTTTGTCTAATAGCTTCAGGTACTTGAAAAAAATGTGCTCCAAACCCAAATGCCTACCTCACCATATTCACCTGGGGAAGGCAAGCACCTTTGACAACTTCAGGAAAATCTATCTGTCTCACTCAGAAGTCTAAAGGTCTAACAAGCTGCCCTTCTGGGAGGCCTTCAGGGGCACCTAACTCTTTGTTGACTCAAAAATTTTGAGATATCGCATTAGGATGAGAGCAGCTGGGCAGAGCTGTTTATCTTTAGACCTTGTCCTTGGGGGATCATAGGGGTATCTGGCCTTATGCTCAAGGCACATCTTAGAGCTGGCCTGGAGCTGTTCCTCCAAGTGCTTTGTGGATTGGTTGACCTCAAAGCTCAGAGATAAAATTGGCTCCCACATAGTTCATGTCCACGGTGCAGTGCATGGAGCTCTGGCTCAAAAGAGGAATATGCCCTTGGAGACTTAAAAACAGCCCTTTTGTTATGACTCTTTCCATAACCTTCATCTTCTTGCCTTGAGGCTGCACAAATCAACTGTCATGAAGTGCCAGCTATAACTAGTCAGGAGATGAGGGTGAGGAGATGAGGAATTGAAGCACAGGTACCCGGATCAGCAGGTTCACCATGTTTCTCGTTAAATCCATCATGTGGGACAGGCTGTATTTGGAGACACACCCTTTCTTCTGAATGAGATATTTTTTCTTTTGAATGTCCAAGAAGCAATCCCTACATTCTGGAGCTATTGCAAGAAATGCTGTGTGGCACCTTATAAACAAAACAAAGAAAGATGGTTGGTTGTGGGGGTTTCTTTTGGTGGGGTGTGGGTGGGTGGGGGGGAATATGTTTTATCTCTATTGAAGAGCTTCTTATTTTGTGATTTTTCCCCAGTACAGAGACCAGAGGGATTTAGATGCAGTGACAGAATGGAGGAATAAAACAACTGCTGTGGATGCGTCTAACCAGGAATTGATGCCAGATCACAGCCACTGGAAGGATCAACTGTGTTTACATAAGGAAGCACTGTGCAGAATGTTCTAAATATAGGTAACTCTTGCCTTAAAGAGCTTACTGTCCACAAAAGACTGAGAGAATAAGGGGTATAGAGACAAGCTTTGGAAATTAGACATTTTGAAATATTGAATCACCATAACTCTATTTGGTAATGAAGATGACTTCTGCTCTCCCATTTGCCTGTTTTTCTTCAGCAGGGATGTGCAGGCTACCTCAGGCAGTACAATACTGCAAGTATTAACTTCCATTCTGCTCCTTCACAGGAGAAGCTGTGACAGGAGCCAGGGAAGTAGACTGAGAGAAAATACAGAGCCAGTATAATGGAAGCATGTTTTGTACAGTGTAAAACCAGCCTAGCTGACAGTCCAGAGCTGAGAGAGAAATCTGCAGCAGAACAGCTGGCAGTGCAGATCAGCCATCATGTTCCCTGGGTTCCCAAATTTGCAGAATGTGGAGTTGTGAGCTGGCAGTGCCAGCCATGCCCAGCTGCCATTTGGGAGGTGTAAATCTGCAGCCTCCAGCCTCAGAGTCAAGGTTTCAGGGGACTAATCTGAGGACTAACACAACTCAGCAACTGTCTGCAGCAAAGTTAGCCTCAGGAAGGATGGAGCAGGAAGGCAGCTGAACAGAAGGTGGCTAAATACAGTTCCTACCAGGATGTGAAGGTGGCTAAAACTAAATTTGCTTAATTCATGCAAATGAGACCTGCTAAAATTGTCTTTGTTCTTCCATTTATTTACTTGTGGCAGGCCAAATCAGACTGGAAGGGAAAGGGGGCAGCAGTATTGTTTCCTATTCGCTTAATCCTTTTTGCTGAGTCCTGCTACTGCAGCCAGTTATCTGCATACCTTCGAGCAAAATGGGGATTTAAACATCAAAGTACTAATTTAAATTCTGGAGGACAATCACTGTGGAGTCATCAAACCTTCCAGCAATTGTACTGGTTTCTCCTTTGCTCTAAACCTTATCCTGCACTCCCAGACACTCAAAGCAGCCACTGAAGCCAGCTGGAGGATTGACCAGGATAAAGCTCTGTGTAACACAGTCAGTCCTTTGCACAAAGGCACAAACCTGAACTGCTCCTCAGCCATTTGACCAGGCCAGTCACTTGCTGCTTAGCTCAAATTAATTTAACACTTGAAGTCTTTGGGTGTCCTGTTTGGCTTCTGAAAAGTTTCTTGTTCAACCAACAGGAAAAGGTGGAATTTGTTTTTAGGGCTTCAAGTAATGTGTGTTAACACCTTAATATTAAAAGTATCACAGTTATCAAAAGGCTGAGAATGGGCAGCTCCCAAATAATATCCAAATAGTGACTTTTGGCTTCTGTTTCCCTCTGCAGAAATAAAACCACACATGTCTGCTGAGGGGCACTGTTTGAATCCTCTGCTGTTGCAAGACCATTAGATGCATTCAAATCTCTCTTCCGATTCTAAATGGATCCTGAATTATATGAGCATGTTCCTTTCAGATAAGTACTTGGGAAATCTATGTGACCATATTCAGTCTCCAAGCCCCGCAGCCCATGCTTTTGGACTAAGTGGTAAGTTTTTAACATCTGTCTTTTACTGTCTGACTGTATGAAGAAAGTTTTTTAGCCACACGAGCAGAAAAATAACACCAAATTGCCAATGCCATAAAGAAATCAGTGCTTGCTCTCATCTGTAAATCTCTTCATGTTTAAGCATGGGCCTGGAAAAATTATTCCACAGTTGGTCATACAAATAAAGCCCAATCTAAGGCATTTTCACGGGTGCTGAAGGACAAGGTATAGGCACAAGGTTTAAGCAGAGTGACTGCTGCAGATTCAAATTTATGCTTGTGGACATGGTCCTGGCAGCAAAGAGCTGTCCCCAGGTGTGGACTGCAGTTCAAGAAGGACGACCAAAACATGCCAAGATCTAAGATGAGAAGGAACTTTTTAATATTATTTTGCTGTTGATGTAAGCTTTCCTACCAAAACCACCTGTCACTAAGATATTTTTATTAAAACCTGTACCTTGGTCACCTCCTCAGCCGTGCTGCATGGCAGAGCACTTACCTCTATGAGCATGTAGAAGGAGAGCAGTGTGATGCCCAGGTTATACACAATGAGGTGGGGCCTGAGAGAGAAAGGAGGCCTGTTCTTCATGAACTTGTTGCCCAGCCATATGCAGAGTAGATATGCTCCAGTAAGGAAAAACGTGGGAAGATATGAGTCCAAAAGGAACCATCCTCTAACCCTGGTATCTAAAAAAAGAAACACACGGAGAAAGCAATTAAGAAAGCTAAGGTAAAGTATTGTTAAAATAATGCAGAACACATAATGAAAAGAATCTGCTAAAAGTGTGAGACGGAATCAGCCATTCTTTCCTCACAAGAGCTATCCATTGCTTTCAATTCAACAAAACTGCAGGCTAAGTCTCAGAGAATGTGGGCTGAAAACTGCATGGAATTCCTTAATAACTTAAGTTCACCTTAATCACCTCATTTTAATAGTAAAGAGAAGACGAAAGGGAAAACCCTTTTCTTATATGCTTTTAAAAAACTTATTTAATGTTTTTGCTTAATATTTATTTAAATCCTATTTTTATCTGCTCAACAGACAATTTGCAAACAGTATTAAGTACAAAGTATGTATGTGATATTGCCAGCTCATGTGTTATTTTAATTCTGCACTTGCCATACAGATAGGAAGGTATATAGCATTGACTAGAAAATGGTTATACAAGGGGAAGATTTTTCCGAAATATTAAATATGAAAAGCAAGTGGCAAATGTTTACTTTGATGGTTATTAAAGATTTTTGGCTGGGTGAGGGCTAGCTTTCTCACAGTTTCTGTCCCACTTGCCCACTCCTGAAATGAAATATTAAGGTCAAATCCTGCTTGCCTTATTCACACAGATAATCCCATTGGCAGTAATCAGATAGTTCAGTGTATATGAGCAAAGCCTAATCCCAGATGACAAGCTGGAGGCACCACTTTGTTGTCATATGAGCAACTGGATGTCATGAGTGAAAGGGGTGTGCTTTCTTTTCTTTTGTCTTTTTCCAAGATGGAGAAAAATCTAGAGTCAATTTTCTACAGCAACATTCTTCAGCCATTTACGTATGGAAAAAACAAGGGGGCATCACGGCTGGTTTTTAGAAAGACTTCTGGAGTGAGAGAAGACAGAAGTCAGTGAGGAGTCATTGTGTAGGTCTCACAGAAAGTTATTGGAAAATGTTTTATATTACTTAGATTGTTTTTTTTACAAAGGTCAAGATTGTGTTAAAAACTGTAAAACAAAAGCTATTCACAGTGCATGAAAAAAACATTTTACTGTTTTTCTGCCTGTGTTGAAATTGGAAAAGACTGGGCAATGGATGATGCACCAAGTAAATGTGCCCAAACAATTAGTAATTGATTGGAATTTTGCTGTACTGTATTATTTCCAACAATTCTTTCCTCAGAAATACTTGCATAGAGGTATATGTAAAGTGAAATTTTACATATGTTGGAGTAACCTGCATATGAGCCAGGCTTTGAACATCAGCTTTCTTCCTCATTACATTTTCCCTCTCACCTCCCCCCTCGCTTCCATTGCAGTGGCTGTAACATTCATCTGCTGAATGTGGATTCCATGAGGCTTGTTAGCCCTTGTGCAGGAAAGACTTTCAACCAGGTCACCACTGCCATGGAAATCCAATGCTCTCCTGCTTTTGACTCTCCCTTTTGGACTCCAAAAAACCTCTAGGAGCAGAGAAGTGTAGGATTAAAGCAGTCACAACAGCACAATCCTTCCTTTTATGGCAGCCTTGCTTTGTTGTGCATTACCAAGCTAGAATGCTTGTTGCCTGTCTTCAGATCTCAGTGCTTATTAGGATCACCTCAGTGTGAGAAGGAAACACTCCCAACAATCTTCTAAAGCTCACAAGCCATGTGTGAAGCACTGGAATGAATATTTTAGAAGTGATTCTGCTTCCTTATGGGTTCTCAACATGACACAGGAGTCACAGGACAGGCAAAGGTTAAATGTTTAAGTGTTGATGTCTTAGGAGTGTGTTGTTTAGGAGCATAAGCACTTAATTTATTTAATTGTTATCCTAAATGAAGATGTAGAAAGCAGTCATGTCAGCAAGACTGCTATCTAAGGAAAGGTCTCCCATCCGAGGATTGCAACACTTGGTGCATAAAGATTACATGCACAAAGGTAAACTGGCATCAGTAGATAGCAAAACTGCAAGTGTGCTCAAAAAGGAAAAATATTCAGAAGCCTCCAGAATACAAATTAAACTACACAGAATAAATTCTGCCCCAGTATGCCCTCAGAAAGTTTTCATTCTGCTGTGAGTGGCCACGAGCATATGGGCTGATCCACACAAAAGCAGAACTCGTGTGCTTGTTCAGGTCAGCATGCCAAGTATTTTAAGTTCTATAGTATTCCAGTTTCAAGAGAAATTGTTTAAACATGTACCCTTCCTGAATATTTCCCACCACGACCTCAATACCTTGAAGAGTAAGACAGTTTCTGGCAGAAAGTGGTTTATAAAGGGCAGCCAAGGAACGTGACTGTTTTGTTTCCACTTCCACTTATCCCTGAATGACAAGTGGAGGGAGGTTTTTATGTGTCGAGAAAGGGGAAGAAAGGGAATGTATTTCAAAAGAAGTTATCAGAAGAATGAGAGATGAAAAGTATTTCTGTTGACTGACAGTTAAATCTCCGTGTTCAAATACTATAAAGTTACAGTGTCAATAGGAGAAAGGATTATTTTTACAGTATTGAACTTGCACAGCATCTGAAATTGAGACCAAAGCAGCGAATAAAGTCACAGTGGGAAAGCACTGGACTACAGCAGGGGAAGGAGCAGGCGCCCGCAAGCTCTGATCGTTCTGTGAATAAGCTCATTCACGGTCACTGGCCATGATGTGCCAAACCCTTGGGGTGAAATCCTGGCTCCTCTTCAATGAGTGGCAGGCCTCCCAGGCTCTTTAAACGTATCAGGCCTTTATCAATGAGGTTTAGAAACATTTTGATTCAAGTTACTGTATAGCTTTGGCCAGTCAGTGTCTGAGTAGATTCACTCATTTTTAAGGTGCAGAGATGGACTTTCCCCAGTGCCTTGCTACTGATCAGAGTCTATTAAGGAAAAGTGCTTTTTACTTTATCATAACTTTAACAAAATACATCTCTTCTTGCCCACCTCTGTTTCTTCCACAGATAAGACAAACAACCAGTTAACTAGATTTAGCTCCTGCAATTCAATATTACTTAATTTTGCATAACACCAAACAATATTCTGCAGATAAAGGGTTACCCTGGAAAAATTATCTCTTACAGAAGAAAATTGCTATTTCACTCATTCTCAATTTGCCTTGAGCATAAGAACAAGAGGGAGCAACACCAAATTGTAAGACCACCCCTTACTTAGAGATGAAACCAATGGGCAGGTATATGGTTGCTGTTCCCTGACTCAAAGCACTTCCTCTGCTAGTTCGAAAGCAAACACAGATGTTAAGTTATCTACAGAGCCCAGCTGATACCAGTGACTGAAGGTACAAAATATGCCAATATCTATAAATCAAATTCAGATCTCTGATAGTCTGTCCCTCATGGTAGAAGGGCAGTACTGCAGCTTGTGTTAACCTGGTGCTCCCAATGTGACAGAGACAGCCATGCTCTAGCTCCCAGAGGCATTCTGTCTCTTCTAGTGCCCTCAGACACATCTGTTAATGATGACAAAGACTTGTATAGTGACACAAGTATCTCAGGAGTTACTACCTAAAATACAAACAATAAATAGGAGATTGGTTTTAAAAATAATAGAGCGCTGTTATCTCTCCTTTTAACCCATCTTGCTGCTGAATTAAGAGTGTACTGTGGACGAAAATCAGTAGAGAGAAAGTGTGCGTTTAGATGGTTGGGGAAGCTCTCAAATTCATTAGATATTCATCTGTGGGGTGATTTAAAACTGATTGCAGTCTATTGTGAATTATTTATGTGAATTATTTATGTGAATTATTTATGTGGATAAACACACTGGAGGGAGATATGCTATTCAGGAAATGTATGATACTGTGTCATTATACCACCAGTTAAATTAAAGATCAGAGTGCAGAGGCATGGACACACAAAGCTATCTTCAGCACTGATGTCTGGAGAAGGATGGTGACGTACTTGGCAAGCAATACAAATAATACTTGTTTAATTGAAGGGCTTTCTAAAATCCCAAAGGGATCTCTGTGTTATTCAGAATTGGATCAACTATAGCTTATTCTTTCAGACAATTTATCTGGACCAACAAGGAAAGAGAAATAAAAGAGAACTTCATGATTATTTGGAAAAAAACAAAACCAAAATAAAACACCAAAAAGCAGTGCTTTTGTTCTTCTGATCACATTTCTTTGCTAATATTAAAATGTACTACTGTAGAAGCCATTAATAAAACCTATTCTGCTTTAACCACTTCTGCTGTAGTTCCCAAGCTATTCGGTGTTTCTTCACTGGAAATTTTTCTTTCAAACTTCACATCTACATGAAGGAAAAGATTTTGTAGCCAGCCAGCTAAAAAAAAAATCAGAATTTCTTGTGTTTAAGAACACATCTTTCCCTTTTACTTCCAATTAAGCAAGAACTGTTTCCGTGACATGGCGAGCATTACTGCAACAAATTGGGAATCCATAATCATGCATCCAGCCTGACAGCAGCAGTTCTGGATTTTACCATGGGTAGAGATTTGCAAGGCAATTCCTGAAATTAAACCCAGCCCTATCAACACCAAGGTGGGCTTGCAGGGGTCTGCTCTGAAGACTGTGCCCTGTCTAAGCTCCTGTCTCATCCCTTTCTTGTATTTGCTTGGTTCTCTTAGCCCTGACTTTGATGCTTTATCCCTCCTTGGCTGCAGTCCTATTTTAGGTTTGGTTTCTTTTTTACTTCAATCCTAACAAAGCATGAGGCACCTCCAACCTACAATTATTTAAGTTACTGTTGTCCTAATTGTTCCAGAAAAGCAATAATAGGAAGTCAAAAGATGCATCTGTTCTTTCACCCAATCTATTGGTTTATTGAAATTTTGGATGTGACCTGCAGGTTGCTTTTGCTCCAAGCATCCTTCTGCATTACGCAATTTAATAGGTAGCTGGACCAAACAAACTGGATTATGAATGACAATCAGTCCCAAAACAGATCTTCCACTTTCAGAAAGATTCAAGCTTTCAGGCTTTTTATTCCACGTTAGGATGAAAAATTGAATTTTTCTGACATTCTCAGAAACAAAGGAATCACAAATCATTGCATTGGTAGATTTGCTACAATAATGGTGTCTTCCTGATAATACTGTGATTCTGCCTAGTTTACATTTTTCAATAGGAAGTTACTCAGCAAATTTATTAGAAGTTTTTTGGGTGGTAATCTCTAGAAGTATTATTTCCTTAAAGGGCAAAAAATGGAGCAGCTTACCTCGAGGTCCAAACATATAGTCCACAAATGCATTTACTTCCTGGTCAAAAGCTTTCAGGGTCTCCTAAAAAATATGGAAAAAGACATGTGAAAAAGACATTATCTCAGGGTCACAGAGAGAATACGATTAAAAAAAAAATCCAATAAACTAGCAAAAAGTTTGTCATGCACAAGTATTTCCAAAGTACGCAACATCATGTATACTGAAAAACCCCAAACCTCTTTAAAAATTAATTTAGGGCATATTGTGGTCTAGATAACAATACAGGTCTCATTCCTGGAAACTGCCCAGACCAGAACTCTTTAGGAAGGGAAATTAAGGTTTATGAAAATCAGCAAGTATCACAGTAAACCCATCTGTGATGGGTGTAATTTTCACTCTGATAAAGATGCTTCTTTGTTTTTATTATGTTTCCTCAACTGAACGTCTCAATGCTTTGCACTTAAAGAAGGAAATCTTTAAGTGATTTAAGTGAAGGTGAGCCAACTGATATTTCTCTAAACCAGGCCCCAAGTTCCTATAAAGCAAGCCTACAAAAGAACCTAGAGGTCCAGTAATGATGTTCAGGCCATGTAAGGTGGCAGGAAGAAATGGGTAACTTTATAGAGGCATTGTGTTTTTAGGTCTTAGTCAATGAAGCTGCTAAGTTGGCAGGTTTAGCAAATTTGTGTCTTTGACTGAGTTGGGAGCTAAGCCATGACCTACACAGTTCTTCCCCCAACTGGTTGTGGTGATCTCTTCCCAGACTGCAGCTCTGGGCAGCGGCTTCCTGCATGCCTGTGCCTGAACAATTCCTTGCCACAACCTGAGGTCACCCAGGTTCTCCCTCTCTTCTTCCCAGCAGTGTCCTACTGTGCTTGAACTAATTTCAGCACTGAGAAAATGCTGCCAGGCTGAGGAGAAAGACACGGAGTGATGCTGAGCCTCTCTGCCGGGCAGGAGCTGCTGTGGGCTCTGGGTGCCTTTGAATGCCAGATACCTCCACACCAGCCTGAGCTGCAGACACCATTAACAGATTTGCCTTATGAAGAACCATATTTGCACACTAGAAGTTGCAGCCCTGACCTCTCCATGCCTTTACTAGGTCTGGGTTTTGATCTGGGCAGGGACAAGCTCCTGGCACTCCCAAGACCCTTCCTTGTGTTTCTTCTGCCCTTGATTTTCGTCCTCAGACTGTTCCAAGTGTGAACAACTAGTAATGAGAGGGTACTTCAGCATCTTGGGCTATAAACCATTGTCCTGTCTCTGTAGGTTGCTGCTGCATTGATGTTTTCTTGGAGAAAAAACCAACAAAAACCCCAAAACAAAAAGTATATATTTTTCTAAACAAAAAGAAACCAAACCAAACGAAGAAAAAAAAAAAAACCCTAAACAAACAACCAACCAAACAAAAATATTTTCTCAAAAGAAACTGATGATTCACAATACAAAAAGGTTTGTCATGCTTCACAGCACTGAGGAAATTAAACTAGCTTTTAGGAAGGTGTCCTGGCTACAGCCCATAAGGAAAGGCATTTTCTGAATTTCAAACAATTACCTTAGCAGCCTAATGATGGCTTCTGTCAGAGGAGGTGACCTGATTTCTAGGTGTGGGACCTGTGCAAAAATCTGCTTCCATTTTTATCCCCTAGAGCTATACAGTAGTTCTGTTGTTATTTCATTACAATGATACTCCCTTTTGGGAAATGCCACACTGCTGCTTGTGTGTGATGTGCCCACCTGCTGCATTAATTTGAAACAGACCTACTCCTGTGCTTAATGGTTTTGTGGTTAGACTTAACAAATTGCTTTGGAAAAAATACTGTAATGGATTTGAGTGACTTGTAGGAATGAGCATGCAATGTTATTTGCTTTCATGTTTACATTACATAAACAAATCTTACATGTCCAGAACAAAGTAAAACACCATGTATATTCCTTTTATATTAAAATACTGTAGACAAACCTATTCTCAGCTGCATTGAAATGGAAATTAGGTACTGAATGCTTCTAACAGTTAGATGGAGGAACAGGAACTGTAGGATATTAAGAAGAAATAGCAGAATAAAAGAAAAGAGTCATAGCATTGTTTAGGTTGGAAAAGACTTTTAGGGCATAAAGTCCAACTGTGAACCCAGCTCTACCAACGCCACCACTACACCATGTCCCTGAGTGCCACATGTACATGTCTTTTAAATACCTCCAGGGATACTGATAAAATCTGTGACTTCTTTGGACAGATTGTTTCTGAGCTTAACAACCCCTTCAGTGAAGAAATTTTTCCTGACACCTAATCTAAACCTCCCCTGGCACAACTTGAGGCCACTTTGTCCTGTCCTGGCACTTGTTACCTGGGAGAAGAGGCCAACCCCCACCTGGCTACACTCTCCTTTCAGGCAGTTGTAGAGGGTGATCAGGTCCCCCCTGAGCCTCCTTTTCTCCAGGCTAAACACCCCCAGCTCCCTTAGCTACTCCTTATAGGACTTGTGCTCCAGACTCCTCCCCAGTTTTGTTGCCCTTCTCTGGACCTGTTCCAGTATCTCAATGTTCTGGTATTGAGGGGCCCAAAATTGAACACAGGATTCAAGGTGTGGCCTGACCAGTGCTGAGTGCTGGAGGATGATCACAGCCCTGGTCCTGGCCAGACTATTGCTGATACAGGCCAGGATGTCACTGGCCTTCTTGGCCACCTGGGCACACTGCTACCTCACATTCCACTGACTGTCAACAGGTCTAGGTCCTTTTCCACAGGGCAGCTTTCCAGCCACTCTGCCCCAAGCCTGTAACGCTGCACAGGCCTTGCTGGACCTCACATCATCAGCCTCAACCCATCGATTCAGCCTGTGCAGATCCTTCTGAGAGCCTTCCCACCCTCCAGCAGATCAATGCTCCCACCCAACACAGGTTACTGTCACAATTGATCCAACTTGCAACCTCTTACACCTGGTAAGGATGGGCAGACACCATGCCAAGTAGATGAGCCAGTCTGAAATAAATCTACCTCCTCATGAGTGTGCTTAAATGACACAGTGAGGACTTGTACCAGCTGCCAAACTTGTTCCCATCTATCTTAATTAGCGCTACAAACATTCAGTGCCTGGTTTGCCTTCATTGGTAATTTGAGGGTAGAGCTTTTTCTAGGAGGTGCAGCAGAGAAACAAATATTCTTCTTAAGAACAATATTTCAGCCTTTGCCTCTCTTTCAACATTGTACAACTTATTTTAGTTTACAGGAAGAAAACCAGAAGTTTACAAGATATAGATTTGTAAGATTGTTATAGAAATTATATTTGTTTATATACCTAAAACTAGTAGTAATAGTTTGGGAAAAGAAATTCTTAAAAAAGGTAGGTAATTTTATGTGACTAATCTTGACACCTTCCTGTCAACACTGCTACAAGAGACTATACTGTATTTCTGGGTTTTAGAACATGTCCTTAATAGTACCTCTGGGCAGATTAGATGCAAATGTCTTGCTCAACATGATCTGTCACATTTCTAAAGAAAAGCAAATAAAACCAAAAATCCAGACAACTCACTTCTCTCTGGCAAATCACTGCAACAGCCTTTATCAATGAAGGTATTTGGGCTACAAGGCTAAAGATTAACATGTCTTTCATGTTGTTTCTTTTTTTTGTACAGGACATTGTTCTGGGTATTAGCAATGTATATTCCTTGGCAGGATTTTGGACAGATATGTGGAAGATCTATTTACCTAAACCTATTAAAAAGACAGTAGGTTATCTGAGCAAATGAAATCACCCAAATGGAAAGAACTATAGGGAGTATAAAGCCAACGATGATAAAACAACAGAGATCTCTCTAATGAGATATTTCAGTATTTTTGCACAGAAATATAGGTAAGTGAATTAGCTTTCATGCCATTGCACCTAAAACACAATTTTAAAGTCACTGGGTAGGTAAAAAATATACCACTTCTTGTAATACGTTTATATATCTTTGTAAGTGTTGGTCCTCATTGAGAGACCAATATCTACTGGTTTTCTAGTAGTTTTGGCAAAAAATAGTATAAGCTATGTAAAAATTAGGTTAATGCTATCTAAACAGTGCAGCTATCAAAATAACCTTGATTTGTCAAAAATACCTCTGATTTCTCAAAATACCAATGATTTGCCATTAGGCATTTTTTATTGCCCAGTGAAAATATTGCCTCAAGTAATTTAGGTTTGCTCTTTATATAGCTTTATAACCAACTATTTGGATCCAATAGAAACACAAAAAAACTCTCTGAAATAAACTTTGTACAGGTGAGTAAACTGCATTCAATCTTACTTATGGTATCTGGAAACCTTTTGTATTACTGTTGGTTTGTTTTTGTTTGTTCTTTAAATTCAAAAGTCTTCAATGTCATTCAGTGTCTCCAAAATCAAAGATAACCATTTGCTTCTTCTTACACAGCTGCACGGAAATAAGAATATTCTGTACAAAAAAAGATCTCATTTCAGACTTCAAAGAAAAAGTGGAAATGGGTGCCAGCCTCTCTCTCTGATACAGCTCCTGGAAGTAACAGTGATATTGTAAACTACTCTGATTGAAAATACATATATAATTTATTTCATTATTTAAATGGAAATTTTTCCTTGATTCCCTGAAGAGTTCTGCTCTGTACATAGTCAGTGTCTGCAAAGTACTGGAATGAATCCAAACTTAGCAGCATGTTTAAAAAAACTGATCTTAGATGTTACCATGCATATATTTAAATACACAAATATTAAAGAAGATTTTGTAAATGGCAGTATTGGCTCTAGAATGGCTGAAACAGTTCTGCTCTGTACATAGTCAGTGTCTGCAAAGTACTGGAATGAATCCAAACTTAGCAGCATGTTTAAAGAAACTGATCTTAGATGTTACCATTGTATATTTAAATACACAACTATTAAAGAAGATTTTGTAAATGGTAGTATTGGCTCTAGAATGGCTGAAATAGCAGATGAAATGAAGCAAAGTTGAATTCATCTCAGATCTGCTTATAGATTAAATTGTTTAACTTTTTATTGCTTGATGCATTTAAAATTGCTCTTAAACAAAGATGTACAGTGAGGGACAAGTCTCCATTGCTTCAG